GGGTCAAAAACTCAAATTTAGTAAAGTTTTGTGTTTGTCTACTAGTTGGCTCTTTTTGGCCCAAATATCACTTTTGCTCCTCAATTTTCAGTTTCAGGATATTTGTTAGAGATGTCCCAGGACAAGGTGTTAGGGCTAGGAGTTTTTTTTTAGGAAGGGCTGGAGGTTTAGTGCGAGCAATGAAATTGAATCCAACAACTCCCTCAAAAAAAAGTTGAATCCAACAGCAACAAGTGAACAAGTAAGCCAAAAGGTGACGATAGTGGAGACATCAAATGGTTGGTGTTGGGGTGGTTGGATTGTAACGAAACAGGGGGGCGGGTGATTGGATTAAATCGATCGAACTGGAACATCTTGGCCTTGATCTTTTCCATGCGGACAGGCAGTTAAAGCACGCACTGCGCGTTGCGCAATGAAATGGGGGCAGCCAGCTCGTGCTAATCTGCAGACTGGTCATACGTTTGCCATTTCCGTTCCTTTCTGAAACTGCACGATAGTACAATGCCACCAATAAAGCATTGTTATTACAAGCTTAAAAAGGACAAAGGTCATGCTCATGCACATGGCAGAAGATCAATCATGTGCAGTTAACTGCCAATCTGCCACCTTCCTGAACTAAATTTGGGTCTCATTTCAAAATATATGCCACGACTTGACAGACGATCAACCGACACAGGTCTACGGCATATGAGAATTGCAACCACGAGTCATGGGATAAGAATAACAGGAGGCCCAGAAGAATTTTCCAGAAACATACTGCTAGAATGCTGAGATAGGAGTAAAGCGAACAGAATAGAGAAAACTAGGATGGGGATACTGTTCCGGCGTTCCTTGAAGCGACTGTAGGACTAGTTGGGTTGCCTATAATTTGAGATCTGTCTCCTTTGTCACCACTCAGCAGACATGTGATGTTCGGTAGTACTACTATCATATGAAAACTGCAAAACAGGTTGTACGAAGAAATTATTGTGACCCCCGGCTTTCGAGAGAGAGAGAGAGAGGGTCGCCATGCATTCTGAAGGAGCCCCTGAAGAAATCCACTGGCAGACACAAATGTGTTAATTGTTGGTATCATCAGTACAAAAGAATGTTACATGCACACACAGTGGGGGACTTACGGAGACTTTAATCAACTATTCCACGTTTCTGTTGGGCGTCCATGGCGAACCTGGAGACCAGATTCCATACACGGTTCACAACTCCATGCGACATGATGGAAAATGCATCTTTTGCAGCTCCTTGACGTGCTTCTAGAGCTTTGGAATCGCTAAGCAGTTCTTTTAGCACCTCCAGCAGTTCAGCTTCTCCTGTCAACTGGCAAGAACATTGGCATCAGTTTTCTAGCTGGAGTGGGAGGAGTGAAAAGACCAGCCTTCACCGATAGGCCCGATCACAAGATCTTGTGCCTAAAGAGCAGTCTATGGGCTTTTACCCTGTTATTAAACATTAATATTACTTCCTAACAAATTTCCCAAATAGAAAGAAAGCCAACCAAGAAAGTACCACTATGCATGATCGAACTACCCTCGGCATTGGTTAGTGGTGTGCAGGAGCAAGTCATTCAATAAACAATGCAAATGATGCGCCATAGTTATGTTTCAGTAAAGGGACCCCTTAAATAAATGGGAAGTTACAGAACAACTTGTCACCTGCTTGACAGCTAGAGGATTTATTTGCCACATTTCAACCAGCATATGATAGAAATGTCCAACATGGGGACCTGAAAGCCAGTGCAAATCGTCAAACTCTATACGCTCTGATTTGGCCAAATAAACGATGCAAGCTCAAATAGGTAGATACCTTTGCCTTACCAGTTAGAACAGCACAACCAGCTGCAGCAGCCTCGGAAAAATTATGGCCAGACAAGCTAGGTAAAAATGAGCCTCCCACAACTGCTATTGGAGTGACCCTGTAGAGCATTCTTAATTCCCCTGCTTACCATCATATTTTCTGCCATTAACTAATAGTTCAAACGGATATACATAATCTGCACAGAAATAATGCACAAACTTTCCGATGGAGAGATTACACAAACCTAGAGTATCAACCACGTATACCCTAGTGTTTATAGACACCAATTCCATTGTTGACCTCAGCACAAAATTGACCTTTTGTTTTTTCAGTGCCTGCAAGAAATTGTATACAAAGATATGGTTCAGGCCTATTGTAGTACCAAGTTTACATTAAAATGTATCACATGCTCTTTATGCTTTAAAAATAATAAAAGAAAGACACTAGAACTACAGGGAGTAGCCTCTTTGTTTGTTTTCCATAAAGAACGAGAGGCAACCCTGAGCTCCCCGTGGAGTTCACAATATGAAAGCAAGTGGGCTGGGCATCCACTGACACACCTAACTAACTTGGCAATGCTCAGTTGTCTGCTTTTCATGCTTTAGAAAAACTATCAAACTTCAAGACGTGCACAGTTCTGTTATTCACAGTACTCGAGCCTTATACAGTAAACAGAGTAACTCCCATAACACTTGCTCCTCATCTTAAGTATATTTACAATCATTTGATTTTTTAATAACCAACAAGATATGATACTTACTTCACTCCAAATTGTAAGCAGTTTAAGCATTTGTCCAAGTCAAACTTTTAAAAGTTTGACCATATTTATAGGAAAAGAACTGGTAGCATTTACAAAGCCTAATTAGTATGATTAGATCCATTGTGAAATATATTTACATATTGTATATAAACTTTTGCTTTACACAACATACATATCGTAAAAAATACTGTTCAAAGTATCAACTTGGAGAGTCAATGTCTAAAACTACTTACATTTTGGAATGGAGAAAGTATTAGAAAACTGGTAAGTAGCCAAATAACTAACGTTGTACTCGGGAACTGGCTCATACACCAAACAGGGTAAAATAGAAGGGGTACGAAAAGGCACCATTAACATACCAAAGAAACATTCTTGATGTCCTGAGGATGTCTTGGCACGAGAATTAAAAGTAGCGAAGCATACGCCTTGATTAACTCGTCATGAACGCGGAGAAGGACTGAAAAACAAAAATAAAGTTAAGGTAGCCTCAAGGAATCGTTTTATGTTGAGAACACTGCCATTATGACCTAGGAAATGAATTCTTTTATGTTACTTCACAAAAAAAACACTGTGCAAGGTCCTTTTCCATGATTGGTGTACTACGAGAATGGTAGGAAAACTGAAGGAAAGGACAGAAGATACGAAATGATAGGCGGGCCCAAGAACAGAGACAACTATAATTATAAATTTTGGCAACCTGGAGAGTACAGAAGTCTTTGTTGACTAGGCAATCTTAAATATATTGAAGGCATATTCCATGAACATAACAGCTCGCAAAGGCAATCTGCTTATCTACTCCCCATTCCTAATCCAAGTCCCCTTCGTAAACAGCTGTCAAACATTTAAAACTTGCAATTCTGACCCCTTGATTGGCCATGTGAAGATTGCATGAATATATTCATCATGTGAGGTATTTTACTTAATGTTGATTTCATGACTTGAATAGCACTTAGCAATGGATAAACTTGTACTTGGAGACTGTAAGGAAGTCAGCAAAGAGGTTAGGCTAGCAGGGGGCCACCATATAGTTGATTGAGCGCACAGTTCACTGGAACGGCAGATGCACAACAAATATATATTGGTGCACTTAATAGCAAAAAGGTGCACTTCTGGTGTGCTTACCTTCCTCTTCACCTCTGTGAATTGAAGCTGCCATCCAGATGGGCCTATCATTGAACTGCCGCTGCAGATCTTTGATTGTATTCAACTCTTTCTCCCGAACCTCAACATCACCGACAGCTAGGTAAATCATGAGTCACAATAAATCACTTCACTTGTGAACAGGGTCATCTTTTCAAGCTCCTGAGATTACCTTTAGAATTGTGCCACTCGTAGGTTCACTACCAAATGTATTCTCAAAAGTCAAAACGATGAATGACTAGAAAAGAAAAAGATAAACAGAAAATACCATATTTTAAATCGCCAGCGAAATGGATTTTGTACGGTGGTGTATGGAGCAACTGAAAACGAACAGCCTGGATGGTACTCTGCACCAGATAAAATGAACGCTGATGGGGGTAACAGTTGTACGACATAAAAGTAGGGCTTAAACCTCTACTACTACTTACCAGTGGGATAACAAGTGATAGTTTAGAGAGCATCAGAGAGACTAATGGTAACCCTAGAGGCACAGACCAACGGTTGAACGACTTCAGTGACATGCGGGCATTTAAAAGAGCCACTGCAATCTGAAAATATGCAGGCCAGTTATGTTCATAACAAACAATTAGCTAGGGAACGATGCAGATACTAATGAACAACACAAGGCAATAAAATCTGCTCATGTACAGCATGCAGGAAGTTTTGAAAAGGCAGCCCAGACTCTAGAAATTGGAATACGGGAAAGATCATTAACAGAGAGCAGGTGATGCACAAGATCATGAATGAACTGCTCACCCCTTTCTCTGCTGCAGACATGATGAGGTTTGGCCACAATTCACTTTCCATGAGAAGTATCAAACTTGGCTTCCAGTATCCAATGAAACTTTCTATTGCGTCAGGACAGTCAAGAGGTGCAAACTACAGACACTCAACAAATGCATCATTAGAATTTAGAAGGACAAACAGGCATAATCACACAATTCACTATCAACGCTCTTATATTTCTTTACAGAGGCAACCTAACAATCAAAAGTAAGTGGACATAACAGAATCTTATGAAGTTTAGGTGGTACAGCCGAACAAAGTAGTATCATTACCAAACAAATTCCATTAGCCATATGTTGAGGCAGAAACAGTTTTCTTGAGAGAGGTGAACAAAGCAATTACAATTACCTCTTCTGGGTGTCGAAATGGTTATATTATCTCTTTTCTACAGATAGTTATATGCATAAGTACCGGATAAGGTTAAGCAACAACGCTACAAAATTAGCACCTTAATTTTTTGAACCTTTTTTAATGATATGACCTACGCGATTGCTAAGCACCTGCATTTTACATAGATGGTTGCATTTTCTCTTAGTTATAAATTTATTCTACAGCTTGTTGAATTATTTTGATGGATTCCCTCATTTCACCAACTCGTACTAAATAGTGAGCTAACGAATCCCGTTCTTTTTGCCACTGAACAGGTATAGTTGCATGCATAAGCACCTGGGAATGCTACAAGGCTACAAGACGAGCTCATTATCTATCATATGTGGCAAGATCAAATGATTTCCTGTTACCAAACGCCTCTTCAATCATCTAAACTAGATATGGCATCACTAAATTAACTCTAGCATACGTTTCGAAATAAATAAAATAACTCTAGCATAACAAGAGAGCTCTGAAGGTGTGGAGCAATCTCCAAACTCACCTGATATATGACAACATCCGGTAGCAAATCCTTTATCACTTCGCTATATCAAACAAAGAAGGGAACTCAAAGCTTGACCACATCTATGTAAATAAAATAGCCCGCTCAAATGCTCAATGGTGATTGTGGGACTCACAAGGCGGAGAGAGTGGTGGTGGTGAGGAGGATAGGGAGGCCGGGATGGAGGCGCGCGCAGTGACGGACGACCGGGAGCGCGGCCATTCCCTCGCCGAGGGAGACGGCGTGGAACCACACGAGCGGCGAGCCTGGCCGAGGCCGCGCGACCGACGGCCGGCCCAGCCGCTCTGGCCAACGTGACCGGTGCTCCAGCCCTCGCAGCCGCCGCCACAGGAGCACCGCCGGCGCCGCCGCGCGGCTCGCCGCCCTGTACAGCTCGTACAGCGCCCGGCCTCCGCGCGCCGCCGACGCCGGCGCATGGGCCGGCCGCATGGTTGGAACCTGACCGATCCAACGAAAGAGGCAGTGACTAGTGAGCGGGCCGTTACACTTCTAGTGGTTCAATATACAAGCCCAACCTACACGAAAATGACGCGTTCGAAATGTGATTGGGCCCTTCCCGACCCTCCGTAAACTTGTCGTGCTCACGAACAAGAGGTTTACGCAAAAAAAAAGGTTTTACGCTTTCAAAGTTTTTGTCTAAAAAAAGAAAAAAAACGCTTTCAAAGTTCAGAAGATCACATTCTCTCCAGGTTTTTATATTAAAAAAAAATATCTCCAGGTTCCAAAATGGAGAGAGTTCTTGTTTGCTCCCGTCCTTGGACTCAGAATTCATAAACCATGGAGCATCAGGAAAGATCTAAGAATGCCGAGAAAATAAATCTATTTGAGGGAGAGGTAGATGTGGAGGACAAGAACCCCACACTGCACCCCTCAGAAGAGCGCAAATAGGAAGAAGTTAAGAGGAAGAGATGGTCAGGCAGTGGACAGTAATAAAAGTTCTGCAAATGATTTAGGATCGGCGACACCCCTAGAGGGTGATCGCCGGGAGCAATGAAACTCTTGTCATGGAACTGCCGGGGTCTCGGGAATGAACCGGCAGTTCGAGCTTTGCTGGACGTCCAGCGAAGTACCCATCCCGATGTGATGTTCTTGTCGGAGACTCACCTCGATAGCTATCCGGCTGAATGTCTGAGGCGTCGTTTGAAGATGGATCAAAAACTAGTTTGCACTAGTAATGGGAGAAGTGGTGGTTTATTGTTACTATGGAAAAATAATATTGTAGTTCAGAGATTGGGGTTAGACCCCAAGTTTATTGATGTACAGATCACAAGCGATGGAGGTGAACCATGGCGATTGACTGGCATGTATGGGGAATTTCGATGGGAAAATGAGTACTTGACTTGGGACCGTATGCGCCAGCTATCTCAAACAAGTACACTACCATGGTTACTTATTGGTGATCTGAATGAAATTCAATTTCTGCATGAGAAAGAGGGGGGGGGGGGAATCCACGTCCCCAACAATATATGGTGGCTTTCCAACAAGCGATTGATGATTGTAACCTGCATGATATGGGCTTCGTTGGAGATATATTTACATGGCGCAGAGGAAGGATCCGAGGAAGGTTGGACAGAGGTCTCGTGAACGATGGATGGTCTAGTTTATTTCCCAATGCAAATCTGGAACATTGTAACTTTAACCATTCTGACCATAGACCATTGTTGGTTGACACTGATTTTTCTCAAGGAACAACACCGATCCAAGAGAGACCCAAGAGGTTCGAAGCTAGGTGGCTAAGAGAGGCAAATTTTTCTGACTTGGTTCAAGAAATGTGGGATAAGGCAGGAGGTGACCCGAATGTTTCAGGGATTTTTCAGAAGCTCTCCCGTATGCACTCAGAATTTCATTAATGGGATCAACGGGTGTTAAAAAAACCAAAGAAGCGTCTTCGGAAAGCACAACGAGATCTAGAGCAAGTTATGGCTGGACCCATGATGGATGAAAATGAAATAAAAAGAAAGGAGCTGGCTGAATTGATAGAGTATCTGTTAGAACTTGAGGAGATCCAAAGTATGCAGCGATCTCGCGTGGATTGGCTTAGATATGGGGATTGTAATACAACCTTTTTCAAGCTTTTGCGGCGGCTCGAAGGAAAAGGAACTATATCGAGAAATTGAAAGATAATAATGGCGACATTATGGAAGGTATGGCTGATTTAAATCCTCATATACAAGGTTATTTTGCTAGCCAGTTCACGTCTCCATTTTAGCATATCGATCCTGCATTACTTCAGAAGGTGCACCGGAAGGTAACAGAACAAATGAACACCATATTGATGGCACCTTTTTCTGCTGATGATGTTCGCAAGGCAGTTTTTAGCATTGGCGATCTAAAGGCTCCGGGCCTAGACGGGCTACATGCAATATTCTTTAAAAAATATTGGCATATCATTGGTGATGAAATTATTTTTGCAGTATTACATGCGATCAACACCAGGCATATTCCAACAGAATGGAATGATACATCCATTGTCTTGATCCCAAAAGTGGATTCCCCGGAGTTAATACCACAGTTCCGGCCCATTAGCTTATGCAACGTTCTTTATAAAATTATCTCCAAGATGCTTGCATTTCGTCTAAAGAGTATTCTGTCTGATATCATTTATCCTACACAAAGTGCTTTTGTCCCTGGCAGGATGATCACTGACAATATTCTGGTGGCATATGAATGCATTCAGAAAATTAAGAACACCAACAACAGTCAGGCTGGGTTATGTGCAGTAAAACTAGACATGCATAAAGCTTATGACAGGGTCGAATGGATCTTCTTAAGGAACATGATGCATAGATTGGGGTTTGATAACAGATGGATTGAGCTTATGATGGCTTGTGTGAGCTCAATTAGATACAAAGTTCGTTTTAATTCCCAAGAGACAGAGATGTTTATACCTTTGAGGGGACTCCAGCAGGGGGATCCTTTATCTCCTTATTTATTCCTGATTTGTGCAGAAGGCCTATCCAGCATGGTGCAGTATGAAGAAGAAGTTGGTGGCATTGATGGGATTAGAGTGTGCAGGAATGCACCGTCAGTTTCACACCTCTTATTTGCTGACGGTTCTCTAATTCTCATGAGAGCAGATATGTTAAATGCAACTTCCTTACAGCATGTGTTGGACACCTATTGTGAAAACTCGGGACAACTGGTAAGTTTGAATAAATCCAGTGTTTTCTTTAGCCCAAATACTAATATGCAGACAAGAGATGAAATATGTGATGAACTTCATATCACAACACAAGCATTGTCAGATAAATATTTGGGTTTGCCTGCTATAGTTGGCGCTAATAGAAGTGACTGCTTTAAGCATTTCTGTGAGAAAATCAAGAAACTTTTGAAGGGTTGGATGGAGAAACAGTTATCTACAGGAGGGATGGAAATTCTATTGAAAGTTGTTGCACAGGCTATTCCAGTTTTTGCTATGTCTGTATTCTGCATTCCGAAGGGAGTGTGTAAAGATATTACAGATGCGATTGCACAATTTTGGTGGGGAGATGATGAAGAAAATAAAAAGATGCATTGGTTTTCTTGGTGGAAATTATGCATTCCAAAATGTGATGGTGGTATGGGATTCAGGGATCTACACTCCTTTAATTTGGCTTTATTAGCTAAGCAATGTTGGAGACTAATTACAAATCCAGAATCTATTTGTTCCCAAATCTTGAAGGCCAAATACTTCCCATCCACTGTTTTACTCTCTGCAGGCCCCAAAAAGGGATCTTATTTTACATGGCAGAGTATAATTGTGGGACTTGCCACTTTTAAGTGTGGCTATATTTGGCGAATTGGTTCGGGAGAGAAGGTGAATATATGGAATGATCCATGGGTTCCTGCAAGTCCGGACAGGAAGATTTTAACTCCTCGGGGACACACCGTGATATCTAAGGTGGTGGAGCTAATTTATCCAGTTATAGGACAGTGGGATGACGACTTGATCAGAGACATCTTTAACCATGTGGATGTAAAAAGGATTCTGCAGATTCCGATAAACTTTCAAGCCTTTGATGATTTCGTTGCTTGGCATCTTACGAGTTCAGGGATTTTTTCAGTGAGGACTGCTTACCACGAACAACGGGCACATAAATATAGAGGCAAAGTAGGAGATAATATCATGTCCAGTAGTACCAGGCAATCAGCAATATGGAAACACCTCTGGGAGTTGCAAGTTCCACGAAAAGTACAGATTTTTTGTTGGAGAGCGCTCCGAGGAATTGTCCCTCTGAAATCAATATTATCAAATAAACACTTGCCTGTGAGTGGTGTATGTCCGGTTTGCAAGAATGGCCCTGAAGATGTGAGACACCTACTCTTTCAATGCGTACTTGCCAAGAGATTGTGGACTGATCTGGGCCTTATTGATAAGGTAAACAGTGCTTTACACATTGATCGTTCGGGATCGGTAATTTTGGAACATCTACTCATTGAGTCAGACGTTCCCTTGTCAGTTATGCCAAGTCTGAACTATAAAGAAGTTTTCGCCACCGGATGCTGGTATTTATGGTGGCTACGCAGGCAACATACACATCATGATTCTTGCCCTCCTCCATTTCGGTGGCCTGGTTCGATCTTGGCTATTGTCGGGAACTATATGAAGTCAATTCAAAAGTCAGAGACGAGTGAACATAAGTGGACGAGACCAGAACCCAATTTTGTTAAACTTAATGTTGATGCCTCGTTCCATGTAGATGATCGCTTGGGTGCAACAGCGGAAATTTTGTGTGATGCAAGTGGAATATCCATAGCAGCTGAATGTAGACTCATCCAAACGCAGCTGACGCAATGACTGTTGAAGCAATGGCAATGCGCGATGGACTATACTTGGCAAATTATTTGGGTTTTAACAGAGTTGAAGCAGAATCCGATTCTCCGAATGTGGTGAATTACTGTTAAGGGCGGGCTCAATGGTGGGATGCGGCAGCGGCAATCTTTGCGGAATGCGTTGATATAGCTACGTCAATAGGGAAGGTTGAAAGATCGTCGATGTCGCCTAGAGGGGGGGTGAATATGCATTTTAAAATAATTACGGTTTAGGCTTTAACAAATGCGGAATAAACCTAGCAGTTAATTTGTCAAGCACAAAACCTAAAACAACTAGGCTCACCTATGTGCACCAACAACTTATGCTAAGCAAGATAAGAAACTATGTGATAGCAAGATATATGACAAGAAACAATATGGCTATCACGAAGTAAAGTGCATAAGTAAAGGGGCTCGGGTAAGAGATAACCGAGGCACGCGGAGACGATGATGTATCCCGAAGTTCACACCCTTGCGGATGCTAATCTCCGTCTGGAGCGGTGTGGAGGCACAATGCTCCCCAAGAAGCCACTAGGGCCACCGTAATCTCCTCACGCCCTCGCACAATGCAAGATGTCGTGATTCCACTAAGAGACCCTTGAGGGCGGTCATCGAAACCGTGCAAATGGCAACCCTTG